TATATTACCCCACCAAATTATTTGTGGGGGAGGGCCAAAATAGGCCGAGTGATGCCACTGAGCTAGGGACCATCACCATCTTTCTCCCCTAACAAGTCTTAATAGATCTTGATGGCTTCTATTCAGAGTCAGAATACTTTAATGATCCCTGGGGGGAAATTGCAGTTATTACAGCTGCAACCGTTCAAGTAAGCATTAGAGATAAATTATAAAGGAAGACATATTAGAGCACACAAGGAAGAAATAAGTATAAAAACTCTGGAGAACCAGATGAACACAGAAAACAATGAGCATTATTTAGCATCTGCACAGTGTAAATAGAACTAACAACAGTGTAAATAGAAATAACAACAGTGTAAACTGAAATAACAACAGTGTAAACTGAAATAACAACAGTGTAAATAGAACTAACAATACAAATAATATTGTCAATAGAAATAACAACAGTGATATACTCTGAAGCTAAAAACAGTGTGACTGATGCAAAGCTCCCATCAGATATCATTAGATGATATAAGAATAGGTGATGATAGTGATATTGCACATGTTAGATTAAGGTGTTGTAGATAAATAAAGTGCACAGACGTATTAAAGTGACAGTTTCACATGCGAAGTTATAGAGTTTGAACTACCTTCTGTGGTGCTCAGTGGTGCATTTAGGTGCAATGAGTCCTGCTCTGAATGTGCTTCTGTGACTGCTGACAGTGTTGTTAGAGAGGGTGATAACTGTTGTCCTTAYATTTTAGGTATAAGAAGCTTTTTGGACACAAGTTTATAATGTTGTGCTGTGTGTATCACTAACACATTTGTTTCTGTTTCCAGTCAGTTGCAGATGGCTTCAAAGAATTTGTTCATTATGTCCTTCCCCAGCTGATGAAGGCTCCGGTGAACCACTGTATGCACTACTTTGAGCTACTGCAGGTACGTACACTTACTTCAACTATTTTTGTCAACATGTCATCAAAAGCTGAATATGGGTGCTTAATAGTGTTTAGGAGGATAGTCTTAGGTTGTTTTTTTTTTACATAATCCTACTGGACAGGTACATACTGTAACATTGTCAATCTAATTTATTTATAACAGAAATTATAAAGAATACAGATTTCCCTCTTAGCTTATAAATACAGTGTTACTAAGAGGAGGTCACCTTTTATTTGACTTAATAAAGTCTGGTTACTGGTTCTTCCTCTGGCTTTTTTAATGTATTTGTTGCTGAACCACAAATTACTCTGAAATCTGGTCAGATATTGTTTGTAGTTAGGGTTCCAACACATTCTTGAAAATTACAGATTTTACTTATTAATGCATATTTTAAAGAAATCAGACTTTTTACAAGTATTTTTTTCTTATTTGCAAAGTGGTTTTCAGAATAAAAAATGACTCACTTTGACTTTAGCTAAGTTTAAAATGTTGACAGAAAAATAACAGATAAGCATAAACAAATATTAAAAATATGAGAGGAGTTCTGACCAGTTAAAGAAAACTGCCCCAGTTATTTTGCACAGTCAATGATTCTTGGATCCAACTTGTAAGCTCTGCAGATCATTGCTTCATCTGCAAGTTGAACTCTGTCGAACGTTAGTCAAAGAAACCATCAAGGTGTTTCTGGCAGATTCAGGGGCTTCATTTATAAAGGATTGCATAGAATTAATACTAAAGGTGAGCGTATGTCCAAATGGCAAAAATGGCGTACACCAAAGAAAATTCAGATTTATAAAACTGTGCACGCACACCTTCAAGCAATTTTCCTTTTATAGATCACAGCTGCTTCTCAGAGTTTGCACACAAGGTCCTGCCTCAGGTTCTGCCCTCTACACGCCCACACTCAACCATAAATGATCCAGGCAAAGTAGCTCATGAATGTTGAGGTTTATTTAAATGAGTCAGCTGATCAGTATCAACAAAAGTGATAGGTCGGCTCAGGCACACACTTTGTTGTGCGTCTGGAGGAGAACAGATACTGACGACTGCTCACATGAACAGATGGTTATTTATAAAGCGCCTTTCACAGAAATATGTTCACAAGGTGCTAACAGTCAGTCAATCAGTCAACCAATCTTTATTCCAGACACATAGATGGTTCATAGTAAAAAAGAGAAAATATATATA